TTCGTGCAAGAAACAGCTACCAAAAATTAATAGGCCCCTAACAGGCCCCTTTACCTGTGTACTAAACTTCAAGCTGAGAAAAAACTTTCATTAGGAAATATTCTGATAGGCTTAAACGTTTTAAAATGCCTTACTGGCCATATTTAAAAGGAGATTTTCCTCTTCAGAGCTCAGTACGTGACTGGAAAATATTATTTGTTGCTAACACAGGATCATTATTTAAATAGTAATCTGTTTCAAAATGGCTGATAATTATGTAATAGTCTCTCTCTCAGCTCAGTTACTCCTATTTTCCAAAATACCTGAAAATAAAATGTTGTATTATGTAAGATCTTCTTATAGGAAATGATGTTTCAGCCTTAATGGTTTAAGGATATAAATGGACAAGATATTTAGAGAGTGTTAATATGTTTTATTATAGCATCTTATAGGTTGTCGACACACAAGCATTTCTTCATGATCTGGAGAAGAAGCTGGGAGTTGAAAATACAAATAAATCTGTGCTGGATCAGACCCCAGAGATCATCTGCTCCAGCATCTGGCCCTGACAAGAGCAATTGCTTAGGGAAGAAAGACTTTAAAAAGTGGGCAAGGTTTTCTTGACAATAATTCAGGATATACTTTTAGTCTCCAGAAATCTGAGGCTGAAGGGCTTTCTGAAGATTGGCTCCCTTCAAGAGCCATAACTTTGTTGGCCTTTTCTTCCACTTTTATTTTTCTTTAACATACATACAGTTTTGCCATCCACTGTAGTCTGGGACTGAAACTTCCACAGTTTGTTTACCTTTTGCTCGAAAAAGTACTCCCTTTGATTTGCTTTGAGCCTGCTATTTGCTGGTGTCATTTGATGCCTCCTAATATTTATGTTAGAGGAGACAGGCAGGGAACAAGAATTCATTATTTATCTTCTTGATGATGCTTATGAGTTTTGGGACTCTGTTCTAGTCCTGTTCAATCAGTTCTTCTCCAAGTTGAAGCACCTTAGTTTATGCAGGGATAAATCATATAGAGTAATATCCTTCCTTGAATATAATCAGGCATGCTTATGAAAATTCCATGGGCCTTGGACAACATCTCTGAGGAACCAATAAACACATTTTAATATTGTCAAATCCAAACAGGAGCTCTCTTCATTATTCTGGTCTCAAATATAAGTTTTAATGTAACAGGATTCTGCATTTTTTATTTATGAGAGAAGATGTTTATAAAATTTATGACCTAACTAAAAGAAAGTACAGAAAGAGAGGAAACACTAGAGATTCTTTGAGAACTTTGGCCAGGAGTCTGAATGGCTGCTGCCGTGGCTTGGACACATCTTCGGTCTCTAAAACCTTATTATTTGGGGGACATCAACCATAGTACAGCAACACCTTGACCTCAAAGAATTGAATTCTTCCTATTCTCAAAAAATAATATCTCTTTACAGAGAGTGTTATATCTGAAACAATGAAATGTATGGTGATGAGTGTTTTTATTAAAAATAATAAACAAAGTGAAGAACTTTTTCTCTGCACTTCGAAAGCACTTTGCAGAGATGGTTAGTGATTGTGATGGGAATGATTATCAACTGTTTAAAATATATTATAATAGTAATAATAAATAATGAGGGAACTTGCTAGGACTGAACAACAAAATTTTGGCAGAACTGAGTCTCTGGAGCTGGTGCTTTCTTTGCAGGTTATGAACCCTGGGCACCTATACCTGGTATAATGAGTTAAGTCAGTATCTGTATAAATGCTTAACAATTTAGACTCACCTTTGACTCATCACAGAACAAGCCATGGGTTATGTTTAATCATTCACGTGTCCCCAGTACTTACGGGATGCACTGTGGCAGTCACCCTGCAGTAGTGTCATAGCACTGCTTGAAAGTAGGAAATGAGGAATTGTTTCCCTAACGAAAACCGGAGACAGAAGCGAGGTAAGATCTGCTGAATTTAGGTCTTAATTTAGCAGGTTATGAAAGGCAGTGACACTAACCTCATATCAAGAAAAGCTGCTGAACTTAAACGCAATGTGCTCGGGACTTCAGTTTTATCTTTTATCTATGGGGTAGTGTAAACACTGATCAGGCTTGAATTTGAGTTTGTGAATTTGTGAAGGTGACAACCCTTTATTGTTGCAATGTTTTTTCATCTTGAGTCTGACCTGCCACTCACCCCTCATTTGGCGTCTGGTTTATACAAATACTTCAGGGTTTCAGTCCAGTAGGTTTTGGGCTTTGAAAGCTGGAAACTGTCTTCTGCCAGTGCAGCCCCTACCATGGGGGACTTGGGTCCTTGTTCAGAAGTCTGATGTGCTGCAGCAATCCAAGTGCACAGCACGAGCAGGGATTTTTCATGTTCCATGTGAAAATAGTAATTTCTTAGCTTACCTCTGCTTCTGGTAAGTGTGCAGGATAAGTTGTTGGCAGAGTTAGATAATTTGTACAGTATTTGGTTCAAAAACCTATTGTGTTAAAACATGATCTGCCTTTAACATTCAGAGACTTTTTCTCTTCAGTTTTGAGAGACTTTCTAAGCATCTGGCCTAATAAACTCCCACAGAGATTAAGAATCTTGAAAATCTTTATGTGCAAGGAACATTTTTTGACCTTACCTTTTCTACTGTAGAGGGTAGACAGTGATCTTTGTAAGTACATTCAAAACTAGGCACATTATTGCATTCAGTTCTGGGAAAGAGGGGCAGAATAAATATTGGAAAA